GTGTTCCTAAAGCCTTGGTGTGCATCAGGACATGGCCCTGGGTGACCCTATTACATCTGTGATCTCAGAGGCGTCATGAAACTCAGTGCCGTGCCAGAAGGACGACTCTGATGACAAAGGTGGTCAGCAATTTGATTAGACGGATAACGGACCCAATCCTCGGACATGGTTCGGATCGGACAAAAAAGGGAATCGCTACTCCCTGCTAGGATGTGCCCTGACTTCTCAGGCCGCAGGCTAACTCTAAGCTAGCTTCCCCGGCCTTAAACTGACCCTAGATCATTAGTTGCTATTGCTTTTTTTGGGGGCGGTCCATCGACGCGCTTGGTAGCACCATTGACAGAGCTTCCATCTAGCTGGAAAGGCGCTGTACGGTCACAGACTTTTAGTCCTGGGTGATCTTCATGCTTAGGAGGCGACTTGTTGATTCCCCGATGGGGATAGCTCGTAAATAGCAAGCGTCCTTTTGTCCTCATTCGGTGATTGGTGTCATGAGAGGCGTTAAAACCCGATTCCGTACCAGAAGGTATGTATCAATGCCCCATCTGCCTAAAATAATGGCGGCCATGCGTCAATCGCACCTTTTTGTACAGTCCATAGTGTCATTTCTGCATGTATCTGTCTGTATTACATTAGGCTCCATGTTGAATCCCGCCACCGAAGCCGTCAGTGATAGTGAAATTCTAAAAGCTCACATGGGATGCTTCGTTGACCAGTTCTTCAATAGGGGTACTTTTTTCCACACTGCAATTGGCCATTCGGTTATATAACGTAGCCCAAGCCCATTGTCCGGCAGATTCTTTGGAGTTGTCACAAACTGTCAAATCTCGGATCACATACGTCCTTCCTGGAGGACTCACCATCTGGCCTCCAACGGCATTTGCTTCAGCCGGCATTGGTACCTTAACGCATCTTTTGTACCCCAAGCTCGATTTGCGCAATGGATCCAACAGCTCAGCCAGGGGCGCAGGAGCATCATCAGATGTTGCCCTATGATAGCATGACGGGCCAGCAAGGGCCAACGGTATGCATGACGCTTTGTCGCAACAACAGGACAACCCACTAACGTGATATTCAAAGGAGAGCCACTGCCCAATGCCACGGGCATCCAGCTGCCCTTTTCCCCACTTTGCCATGATCTATATAGACAACAATGGCGAGCTCGGTGTGAATGTCTCTACATCCCTTGCAGGCTGTGAAAGGGCCATTTTTACCGAAGATCTCAAGCAGAGCTTTGTCAGAGCTGTGACTACCGATTGGCAGCCAAACATGCAGAATTTCCCGTCCGGTGAGAACGCACGTAAGACCCCGACATTATAATTGCTGACTAGCCGTGTGTATTACCAGCCGCGACGATTGGAGCAGCACATGCTGAACTTCCGGAAAGGCAGTCCTTCATGTTTAATGCCGGACTGGATCTACAATCCAGCCAAGCGTGGTTCCAGCATGGCCCACCGAGGCATCCCAGGCTCATCCCTTGCGAATTCCAGACTTTGCAGAATAAGCGCCCGCGGAGGAACAGGAAGCGCACAAGCTCGGAGATGGGTGGTGATTCAGATTCAGATTCGACTGATGGGGCAGCCAAACGGACACCGATTCGCGTAGGACAGACCGATGTGCTGCGCCAGTTCTACGAAAAAGCTTTTGAAAATCTTCAACAGCTCAATTGCAGGGTGATTGCAAAGGCGTTTGTCAAGTTGGTGGAACCTCGGAAGCAAGTCAATCACCCGTACAATGGCCGCAGGACAGTGATGGGAGGACCTTGCCAGAAGTTGGACCCTGAATTGACCAAGCCCAAATGGTGGCCTACAGGCGTTCAGCACAAGGAGCCAGATCACCTCCTCAAGCATGGTGTGTCAATCGCGTTCTTCCCTCGCGTGCTCTTTTGTGGATTCAGTTGAGGTCAGTAGTCGCTAACTCTTTGGCCCTTCTAGAGAGAATTCGACTTCTTATGCACATTCTCTGCGAATTGAGGGAAAGCAATGCAATCACCGCGCAAAAGCTCCGAGAGGCCGGGCAGGATGTGCACCGCCAAATTGCACCGCCTCAGCGCCTGTTCATCTTGGACGAGATTTATGATGTCCGCGAAATCGAGGAACTCTATTTGAGCGGAAAAATCAGTATGTTCGGACTCTAACGAACCAGTGGTATCAGGCTGATCGTTAATGACCCAACAGGCGGTGATACCGTTATCTATGTCTCCTCAAAGCATCTGCCAGAGGGAATCGAGCCGGCAGTAGTGAACGTGAACGAGAAGCACATCGCTGACGCGGATTACTTGCCTTTGTCCCCAGTGTCCATCAGCCGCAAAAGCTCAGTTGAGAGCGGACTATCATCTCTCTCAAAGGGTATGGATCCATCCATCAATTCCAGTGAGCAAACGCAGGCACGGGATGCCCATGCAGCGCCTTCTTCGACTGCCTCCAATTCTTTGCCGAGTTTCTATGCTCAGCATTCGATATTGTGGAGCCATGGAACCTCTGCGACAAATGTACCATTTAGTATCTCGTCAAACTGACTGGAACCTGTTATAGGAAGGTCCGTTCCCGTGAAATCTCGCCTGTAACCTGAATCTGAGCCCGTCTCTGACCTCCTCAACAGCCTGTCCCTGCGACTTTCCTTATCGCTGGCCGTCCCCTTGGTATTCTGTTAATAATGCGCGTGGGCGTATCTTTCATTTGTGTTATTCCCTTTGTTGAATCTTCACTGTTGCATATCAATTAGCTCATAGCGTTCTGAGCAAATGAGCCGTTCTTAGGCCATTGCTGTGTTCTGGTGAAATAATGTACACTGTCCCATTCACAAAACTGACTCATTGTCAGGAAATTGGAAAGTTCTTGCTCCCTGTATTGTTACCAGACCAGCTGCGAGTGCCCTGGGTCAGTGTACACTAGATCTCTCAACTGCCAGACCGCGAGGTCCAGCATTCACCGTTCGTCTGACGACCAAATTTCAGAAGCAGAACCAGCAAATTTATCAAGTCCATAGAGAAGCATGTGGTCAGAGTTCCCAACCTTCTCTCGCACTATGGACTTGAACCGGAAAGTCTGGATTCAGGAGGGTCCTTACTTTCTGAAACACTATTCTCAAGCCCTTTCCTCTTGCAAGGATTCACAGAAGACAGATTCAAGTCACGCAGTCGTGTCGACTCCATTTCGCCTCCTCGACCTCCCTTTCGAAATTCGCAGCGAAATCCTCTGCAGGGCTATTTCGAGCACCGATAATTACTGGTTAGACCGTGAAGTCATCATTTTTGGAGAATCGTTAAAGTCGACATATTATATCCGTGGCCGCACCGTCTGGCGAGACTCAAATGGCGTGTACATGAATATTTTAACCACGAGCAAACAGATGTTTGATGAGGCGCAGCAGGTCCTTTTCAGCCGTTTTGCGTTCGCCGCTCTTGGATGGGGCTACACTTTGAGATACTCTGATCCTTCAAAAACTCCCAACCATCTCCCCAAGCACCGCATCATGCACATCGCCTATACTCCGTACTTCACCGAATACATGCGTGAGCATCGCCAGAGCGTCGATCTCATTCTCTCCGGGCTTCCTTTGCTTACCTCAGTTCGTATCATGATATCTTGGGCCTGCGCACAGCGTTTGGTCATATGTGGCGACACTCGAGCTGGCTCTCTACATATAGTGGCTGTGGCACGCCTGTTTCGGCAAGTTGCAAAGGTTGCGGTTGTCGGCCAGTCCTTGATGGGTGAGCTGCAGAAGCAGTTGGTGATGGAGGCAAGGAAAGAACTAGAGGATGAAACGTGGTATTGGGAGCTTGACCTGGATTATCATATATTCATGCCTTTTCTCTCCAGTACTGTTGAAGAGCATCTCTAAGCCGGGGAGGGTGATTTCATGATGGACCCGAACATTCTGGGCGTGCTAATACCGCACCATTACAACTCAGCGTATGCATTCGGACTATGATGTGAATTCCATGCTGCTGCTCTAAGCCATATAGCTGACGAACTGTCGTGAGAGGTACATTAGATGTACAAAGGCTAGGACAGCATAGACCTGCAAATTGGAAGTCATTGATCCTTGCGATGTATGGCTGCCGCCATGTCTCCATCCGAACACGGCTCAACTGGTTTTTAGATTTTTACTTTCTTCAAAGAAGATCCATCTGGCGTCTTGTAGCCTGCATATAGAGAAGTGCATGAACCTAGTTCAGCAAATAATCTCGAAGGATCTCCGGTGACGGACAGTGTGACTGGCTTGCAAATAGATATCAATACTTAAGAGGCATCCTCAATCTATTCTTGCTAATATTGTGGATCTACTGCACGCATTCTTCCTTCAAGTGAGAGGGTTTTGTTATCTTCATGTGGTTGCAAATCTCCAATAATAATAATATCACGTCTTATTCGTCCTATAAAACGGAAAGAATAACCTGCATGTTAGATAACAATGCGAATGGACACAGAGCAGAGTGTAGGGTATCGACGGACAGTCTCACACCTCAGGCAGCAAATCATCGGAAGTGGCAAGGGGGGTTCTGTGGCTGAAGCTTATTGGCTGGCTGAGCAGATCATGCCCCAGATCCCAGGGAGCATCAAAAGCCGGACCTTGGGAGTAGCAAATCAGCCACAGCCAACCAGAGACGTCACTTCAAGCACACGTCGAGCTTCAACTTCCCAACGGGCCTTTTCTCAACACCACGGTCCTCCCGAGCCGACTTTTCCACATCCTTTCTCCGCACGTTGTTGCGTTCGGCAGTACAGTTGACTCTTGCATGGTATCACGCGCCCTGAATTTTGAAGGAGACTGGCGCATTTGACCATTGGATAACAGTCCCAATCTTCATTGGACGAAGATTCGTTGTTTTTGCCTTGTGAGTCCTCAGCCTACCTTGTTATATTAGCCCGTCCTATCGATAAGACTTCCAGACTCTTGATGCTTCCAGCATTCCAGGAGTCACTTGGTTTAATTAAGCCTACGTATTCGAGCTCTCTCATACCTTGTTGGGGGACGGCATCTGAGTTCGAAGCAACATGGTGATGCTAACTTTCGGCCGCTTTCTTAGTCGTCCCTACCCTCACAGCCGGGAAGGCCCTACAATCTTCTCGTTCCAACAAAAACTCATCATGGAGGGCGTCGGACTCGACGGTGATCAAGACGGAAAGACGAACCGGACGACGGGCGTGCATGACTCTCCTGTGTTGCAACCCGTGGCAGTGGAAGATATGGATGCCTTCTATGACACGGATGAATATGCCAACTCCTCCAATCGCTCATATTCGCCGCCAGCCTCTCCTCCTAGGCTGTCGCGAAATCCTTCTTTCTCATATCAGGATGATTGGGAGACGTTTCCGCCGCTAGATAAACTCACCGTGTTTGACTTGCTTGACAACCTTTCACTCTCTCAGAAACTCGAGAAATGGCAACAGGCGATCAATGCGCAGAGAGAGAAGGTCCGAAAGCAGCGCGAAAAGCTGAAGTCTACTTCAATGAACGCAAAGGATCGAGTGGTCGGAGAATGGAAGCGGCGGATTCCTACAGCCGATGAGCAGTTGGCTAAATATCGCCGTCGGATGAGTGACGGTGTCAAGCGGCTGGAGAAGCAGTGGAGTGCCACGGCCACGGTGACACTACGCGAGAAGGTTTCGTTCATCGCGGGTGTTCTCAATATCTTCATCAGCGGCTACCTCATCGGAGCCTACCCGGAATACTTTTATATCTGGTTCAGCGCGCAGTTGGCCTATTTCATGCCGATACGATACTATGGATACCACAAAAAGGGATATCATTATTTCCTTGCCGATCTTTGCTACTTTGTCAACATGCTTTGCATGCTCAGTATATGGGTTTTCCCGAGGTCCAAGAGACTTTTTATCAGCACCTTCTGCCTCACTTTTGGAAACAATGCCGTTGCTATTGCAATGTGGCGAAACTCCATGGTCTTCCACAGCATGGACAAGGTCGTCAGGTAGGTGCCGTTGAGAAATTTCCTAGCAGAGGAGCATTTGCTGACGTTTCTCATGTGCAGTCTCTTCATTCACATCATGCCACCAGTTACCTTACACTGTCTCGTCCATCTCACTCCTGCGAAAATGCTGCAAGAGAGATTTCCGGCGGTCTACGACGTCAAGTTTAGCAAACCTGGCTCTCCCAACCACTATTCTCTCCTTTCCATGATGCTGTGGGCAACCGTGCCTTACATGATCTGGCAGCTGACCTATCATTTTTTCATTACCGTGCGTCGTGCCGAGAAGATCGCCGCTGGGCGTCCTACCAGCTTCACGTGGCTTCGCAAGTCCTACGCAAAGACCTGGATTGGGAAGTGTGTGATCAGTCTTCCCGAATCATTGCAAGCACCTGCCTTTATGATGATTCAATACCTTTATGCGGTTCTGACCATGATTCCTTGTCCCCTCTGGTTCCGTTACCGGTGGGCCAGCGGTGTTTTCTTGACTGCCCTATTCATTTGGAGTATCCATAATGGCGCCACTTACTACATTGACATCTTTGGCAAACGGTTCCAGAAGGAGCTGGAAGAGCTGAAGAAAGACGTTGCCCGCTGGCAGGCCTCTCCGGCTGGTATGACCAGCCCGACGCTGCCGATCTTGAACAACCCGTCTTCCGCAGGGGCTGGCGTCCTCAATGACTCACCGTCTGCGCACAAGGAATGCGACAAGTCAAGTCTCGACCAGATCCCTCCGCTTGACGCCAGTGCGGTGTCGACTGCCATAGATGGCTCCAATTTTGCGGACGCTGCGATTACGCGAGAGAGAAAGTAGAATCCATATCGCCTACCCAGTTTTGGGAACGCTCTTTTATCTCCTCGAGTCTGTCTACTGTTAGTTTACCTATGCTCTAGCAATGCTTTGGGATTGGTCATCGGTTGTTTTTGTCTTGCTCTTGATGATACCCTGCCTTAGTCATTCTTTTGTCTCTGCGACTTGCCTATATTCATACACTTCATGCCCATATGATCTAGAATGTTGATGATTGCGGTTGATTTGATTCCACAAATTGCACGAATTTCCTTTCAGCTGGTTTCTGTGATTTCAGTGGCGAATGTATTGCGTTGATTATGACTGCTATGAACATCATGGTCTACTAGGTTGTTACTAATTTCAGAATATGGAGCAACTTGAGATTAATACGTAATAATGATCCACCATAAGAGCGGCCGATGCCAGTAAAGTAGAGAGCTTGTTTCCATAATCTCAATGGGATTTGATAAACTCCGAGCCAGCGAAAATAAACCCCGAAATCCGCTGTGATCACGTGAAGCAACCACATCTTCTTGCATGGCCCTCTGGAGAGTTCTCAACGACATCATTACTTCAAACTCTTGAGTGTCATAGTACTTTTTCTTCTGCACGGTTGAGACCATTAAGCGATCAGGAATACAACTCTCTCCAAGATTGCTGCGCCCGTCTGCTATACTCGCTCGTCACCCCGAGCATTTCATGCCCCTAGACTTCCGCAATGTCCGTCACCATGAGATCGGCCAGACTTATGCGCACCAATTCTGTACGCCCCAGTTTGATCGGTAAGTCGACATTTTATGCTCTTTTAGCCGTCTTATACTTGGAGGATATTTATCGTGTCTAATGATGGTCGTTACCAATAGTCCGACCCCGGTATAACGGCGCCCTGGGCGCTGCATCGGCCGCAAATCTCCGGTTCAACGGACGGGGGTTCCCAACACACCTACAGACCATTGCGATCTTGGTCTCCCATCAGCGCGGCTATGCCACAGAAACTTCTACCTCGACATCTTCGCCCTCCAACCCCTTGCCACCAGGCTTTAGCGCCGAACAGGCCAAGAAGCCCATTCTCAAGGAAGATGCGTCGCGACTTGCGGCTGACAACGGGAGCACGCAGGTCGCTCCCAAGCCAGAGATGCCTCTTGCGTCGGAGAACAGCGTAGATGCACAAAAACGCGCCGAGCTGGAAGCGGCGAAGAAGACGCTGGCGGATGATGAGAAGAAAGTGACTGAGGCGAAGAAGGAGCAGAAGAAGTTGACGATTGGGCAGAAGATTAAGAAGGAGGTTCAGCACTACTGGGATGGTACAAAGCTTCTTGCTACCGAAGTTAGGATCAGTTCGCGACTGGCATTGAAGATGGCTGCTGGATATGAGCTCAGCCGGAGAGAGCACCGACAGGTAGGTGTTTTGCTACCCTTGCGAAGTAGCGTTAGTGGATTCAACTTACGCATAGAACATCTAGCTTCAACGAACGGTGAAAGATCTTGGCCGATTGATCCCATTCTCGATGTTCATCATTATCCCCTTCGCCGAACTGCTACTTCCCGTTGCCTTGAAGCTGTTCCCCAACCTGCTGCCTAGCACCTACGAGGGCCAGAAAGCGCGCGAGAAGAAGGCTCTTAGTTTGAGCTCAACCCGGAAAGAGGTTTCGACCTTTTTGAAGAATACTCTCCGAGAGAGTGGTCTCCCGGTGACTCCCGCCGCTGTCAGGAACGAGGAATTCGCAGAGTTCTTCAAGAAGATTAGAACCACTGGGGAAACCCCCTCGACCGACGACGTGATCAAGGTTTGCAAGATCTTCAAGGATGACTTGACCCTGGACAATCTGTCCCGCCCTCAGCTTGTCGCCATTTGCAAATACATGAACCTGAATTCGTTCGGTACGGACGCCATGCTCCGGTACAACATTCGGCACCGTATGCGTCAGATTAAGCGTGATGACCGCGCGATTTTCTACGAGGGGGTGGAGTCCCTTTCTGTGCCTGAACTGCAGATGGCTTGTGCCTCACGTGGCATTCGTACGCATGGTATTTCTCCTGCTCGCCTGCGGGAAGACCTGGCGATGTGGCTGGATCTGCGTCTCAAGCAAGGCGTTCCGTCCACCCTTCTGGTGCTGAGCAACGCGTATGCATATGCGCAGGGCGGCAAGGAGGCAGAGATGGCGTCTCAGATTGAAGCGCTCCAGTCTGTGCTGTCTAGCATCCCTGAAGAGTTGTTCCACGAAATTGAGCTCGAGGTCCATAATGCTGAGGGCGCCGCCACCAACAAGCAGCGTCTTGAGGTCATCAAGGAACAGCAAGAGCTCATCGAGGAGGAAAACGAGCAGAACAGCAAGCACGAAGAGAAGGGCGTTTCGACCCCCAAGGACATTGAGGACATCGACGAAACAGAGGACGCGAAGTTTGAGACGTCGAACAGCCATGAGAAGCAATCCAATGAGGCTGTTGAGGCTGAGAAGGAAGGCGACAAGGCCGAGCTGACACAGTCAGAAGAGCTGGCTGCCAAGGACAAGGACGAGAAGAAGGGAGGTTCCTCTCAATAGAGTGTCGCCGGCAGATGTTTCTCCTTCTATATCCCCTCGCCTCGCTTTCGACCTGAGATGATAAATCTCCCAAACGAATAGACTTGCATTTTCGTCTGATTTTCCGCAGGCGCTCTCTACCACTTCCACCATGTTTTATTTTCCACTCACGATAGACTTCTTATTCGGTGTCTCTGATGTCCTTTCTCTTGGTCGGACTACTCTCCTCCGCTTACCATCTTTATTCTATTCATGAATTTGATTATTTGTAATGTATTGTCTCGATAGATATCAGGAAATTCGACGGAGGTTTGGCATCGGGGAGAGGGTTCCTTTCACATTGGACCACTGGGTTGTTCTGCCCTATGATTCTATTAATGCCCACTCTCTACCTTTCTTTTTCTTTTTCTTTTTGGTTAAATTCATTGACTTTTGAGAATGATGTAAGCCTACATGGATGCAATGGATGCATGCCAAAGTTGAATCTGGCGCATTATGGTGAGCATCTCGCACCTAACTGCCGCTGATTGAAGTAGGGTGTCAGTTGGAGTTCGAGTAAATCATGCAACCTACAGTTCTCAGGCAAATGAATAGGATGGTATATAATTGTTTCACTCTATCATTTGTCAATAAATATATAATCCAAAGCGCTCACTCCTTTGTTGGTTGTTTACCTCACTCAATCTGAATTAAGACCTCTGCATAGCTTCATACCGCATAGATTGTTGTTCTGCTGGGGCGGCTCGCCATGTGACAAAGATGGTGATGAGGCAGAAGATAGTGAGAGTGAATGAATTGCTAAGCCATTGCTTACCACCCTCACCTCCCTCACCTCACTGATCTGTTTGCAACTCATCTAACATTAGTAATTTCACTATCAGCTTAACAGCTTGCGCGCTGTCCTGGATGATGCAGATAATTGATTCTTCTTCTTTGATTCTTCTTCTTTGATTCTTCTTCTTTGATTCTTCTTCTTTGATTCTTCTTGGAGCAGGTGAGCTTTTACACCATAGGACTACTAGCATTGATAAGAAACAATTCAGTGAACACCAGGACTGACACCGCCGCAGAGCCAGTGTCTCCACCATGTCTTCCATCGAAGAGAAAGAACAGGGCATTCTCAGGTCTCTTATTGAAAAGATCAGGTCAATTCCATATGAGCCTTTCAGAGCGGACGCAAATTGCCAACTTCCTTACAGAATGCCACCAAGGGGACCATATCTGCTCTCTCCTAACGAGTTAGAAGTATGTGCAAAGGAAACATATGATGATACGAATCATAGAGCTTAGCTAATTCTTATGATTCAGGGAGATGCGAGGGAGATGGCCCAGCACCAGTGCGGCCAGTGAGTTCTTCGCTGTCGGGTTTCTGGGTCATGATCGGAAGTCCCATCAAGAGAGTTGTACTGGACGAATGTCACACGAACAAGAGAACAGACGGTGCTTTTTATAGTGCGGTCAAAGCACTGTATCGGACAGCAACCATTATGTTGTCTGGAACAGTTTTGAGCAAGGATATCCCTTCTGGAAAGGAATGTGCTACGAGGATTGTCTCAATTGCCGACGTGCAGCTTCTTTACCTTTGTATTCTTTAGGGTTTTTTCCAAGACAATAGGTATTTACTCGTTTTGGATTGCCGCATCACTAGGGCTAATATGACACAGGAAAGTCAGTACCGTCGACCAGTATAACCACCAATACAGACTCTACTCAACTCCCGAATCTGCAATGTGGATTAACAATACCAAAGTCTTTCCCTAAAACACCAGGTATGTATTCCCATTTTCACCAAGTGCATGCAATGAGGCTTAGTCGACGACATCTAGGATAAACCATTGGTATTAGAATGAAGTCCAGCTGCGGGATGGATCAATAGCAAACAAATTGATTTACAAAGAAAGCTGGTTCCACCAGCCTTAAGGGAAAGACTATCCCTATATACTTGATAAAAATTGTTTAAAATGGTGCATTCACCACATTACTCTCACCAATAGTTAGTTAAAGCCTGGGGGACCTCCTCACGACAATCACTGAAGATCTCAAGACAAGAGGGTACTGAGAGTATGCAGCCAAGCTGGAAGATTTTTAAATGGCTCAGTAGTCCATCAAAAGAACCAAATCCAGTAAGTCTATTACCATATGCTGTGGAGTAACAGCCATTATCTAATGCTTTATGGCAGCTACTCATATGACGCCCAGAGAGAACTTCCTGTATTTTGCTACTAACATATGAAGCACTATCATGTTGCCTTCCCAAAGCTAGGGAGGCTCATTACTACTACAAGGCCTGGACCTTAACCTGAGCCCTAGCCTTCAGGTACTGGCTCCAGGCGAACAGATTCAGACTCTATAAGGATGGGTAAAACTTTGCCTTTGATGGGAATCGCCGCTATTTGCCGTCTGCTGGGTATTCATGTCATCTACACCACTCTCACGCACTTTGCAGCTGACGCTTGAGACTACTGATAAGTTTATGCAGCTAACTCATATGTCTATGGA